ACTAAATTATTTAGTTTTATTCCTTTTGCCTTGGAGAAATTATCTCTACAGATTTGCAGGAAAATTGCCTGCGAATTTTTGATATTTTTGATCATAGTCTTTTAAAATCCCGAAAAACTAAATCCAGATTATACATCACGAACTTCTGTATTTACGTAATAACACATAGATGACAATGATATTATGTAATTGCTTGATATGCATTTATGTAATATAAATTGCTTCTTTTTGTGTAGTATTAATGAAGGTCCGTAGAATGCATTAAATTCATATAAGTTCATGTAAATTCATGTATATACCGTAAAATCCGGAATTTTTCACAGTGTAAAATTAAAAATCACGTACATGATACAGTTGTTTACATCACATGTACATATAAATAGTACTTTGAAAATTGATCTACTTTTTGTCACGCCGGGTACACATGTCCGGATTTTATAGTAATTTCTTCTAGTAATTTTATAAAAAAAAATTATTCGTTATTTACCAATTTATCATCTAAATTGGCCAACTAATATCTACATAGTTATAAACGACTAGACAATTTTTAATTAATCTTTTAGGGTGTTCTCAAACAACGCGCTCGATGTGATTAGCTAGTGATTGAGATAGTGGTTAACCGTTATGGCGTTATTAATTAGACCAATTTTGATGCCCGATAGTGTTGATGTTGAAGACCGACAGAAATATGCTCACGTATCTTCCTCGATATGATTAATTTATGATCGTGTTTGGTGCTCAAGTGTTACGAATATTTGATTGCAATTGATGCTTGAGCAAACACCTTTTATTATTATTATTATATCATTTAGCAATCCTTTTTCATTTGTGGAGAAGATTTTTGGCATAAGTAATAAGATAATAATTCGTCGACATTGGTAATGATCATAACGATAACGATAATGATAACGAATAAAAAAAATAGAACAATTATTTTTTCTAATCAATCAATGAAAAATTTCGACCACCAAGCGCAACTCTATTATAAAAAAAAATGACGTTTGGGCATCTATCTCTAGCTGATTATAATGAGAAAGACCCTTAATTGTTTAAACAAATTTCTGCCAATAAAATTTTCTTTCTGACGTATTAAACTCTTTCATCACGTGTTTTATTAATTGGAATAATCGATACAATTGATTCGGCAAATTATTTTTTTTTACTAATAAAATTTACCCTCAGACAGATTGATTGAAGTGCTTGAGAATATTCTTAGTATGAGATATGCTTTAGAGGAGAATCAATTCTAACACTTCTTATATCGACTGACCTGGCACACGAAGGCTCGGCCGTTGGGCCAGGGCCTACCTGTATCACTACGTATAATTTACTATGTCTCGTAACGTGATTTCCAAAGCAAAGACCCTATTTGTTTATATTACAGCCATTTTTCATTTATATTTCCGTGGGAAGTCAGGAATTCTGAATAATTAGGGAAACAATCTCATGGGGATATAGAAACCATTGTTCACACTTCTTTGAAAAGATGTAAAATTAAAATGCTCCCGCACTGAATACAAATTAAAAAACCCTAGTATCAAAAGTTTATCGAAAAAAAAAATTACACATAACCTCATTTATATTACTCGTCTTATTCTTTCATTCATTCTAATAAAGAAAATTTAACTATACATCGGCCGGGCCGGCCCACAAAGGTGCGGGTCGACCCTCAACCCGCCCGCATGCCCGGCTGATGGGCCGGGTCAGCCAGTATCACTACCAATTTTTGCAGCTAATTTTTCTGACGTTCTCATTTCAGATGGATCAATATTTTTTTCTACACATGGGACTTTCTTCTTTAAATTAACTTGAGCTGAACTCCAAATTTGATCACTTCAAATATTCACTGACTATGAAAAGTAAAATTTTTTAGAATACAGTAGATAAAATGCTAACTTCTCATCGTTCCTTTTTTTTTTTTTGAAATATTTAATGCCGGTGAGAAGTTGGCTATTATTCTTAATATTGCCAAAAAATATGTTAAAAAATTTTTTTAAACAAATATACGCTTATTTGGAATTTTCGGCTTAATACTTAGGAAGTATTTGCTAAAGTGACATAGATAGATTCAATACATTTGATTGTTTATTCATTTTTTGATTTGATGGTTCTTAGCTTGTAATTAACGAAGTGACAGTTTACAATATTAAAGTGCGTGCCTGTAACGGATTTTCTTTTTTTTTCTTTTTTACAGAAAGAACAACAATATATAATTGATAAATTAATAGCAATATTAATGCGCAATTTTATTTTATTGAATGTTTATGAAGCAAATACGTAATTTTTATTGCTATTTCTGATTGCTCTTATCATTCCGACCTAACTTTCTTGATGATAATCCGATCCAAACCTGGTACACATTTTCTAGGTGCATTGGAATCATATTGAAAATGTTAAATGGGAATCCTATATTCTGAGCGCTCGACTTATGCTTATTGCCTTTTGTGTCAGATTTTCACCAGATAGATGAATTAATAATCACTAATAGTAAAAACTGTAGCGAAACATTTTATTGGCTATTTTAAATATATCGACATATGCTTCTTAACTAAGAACTGTGAATCGGAATCTGATGCAGACGTTAAATTCGCATTAATATCCGATTTGTTAGAATATGTCTACGGGACGGAACAAATTGAAGCCGAGAAACCAAAGGAGATTCTTGGCCGCTGTGCACTCGATAATTATTCTGCATGTTTTAAATTATATAAGTGATGCCAATAGAAAACCTGTAATTCATGTTCTTGAATATTAAAATCCAATAATTGAACACTTATCATTGGAGTCATATTAATAAGATGAAACAATTAATATTAAAATCTTATGTATTCTATTACTTTGTTTTAAGTTATTTTATTAAAAGCAAACATTCATAAAACATGGTTTATGGTTTTTTTTTCTTGGCGTTATACGTAAAAAATTTATTATACGGCCTTAACCGAAATAGAGATAATTATATGGATATTAATATAATATTGCTAATATTATTTTGTATAGATCATCCCATTCATGAATATACAAAAAAAAAGCACGTACCTACTTGTTATAATTATTTAATTTAATGTATTTATCTAATATTAAAGGTTATTAACTCAATTCAATTTTATCATTTTCTATAGGGTTTAGATGCAAATTTGGTACTGCGATCTAAATTAGTCACGTGATGAAACTTGTCGATGTTAGGAAAAGTCAGAAATAAGTACTATATCCACTTTTTATTATAAAATTTTGCAGATCAAAATAATTTGACATCCCTAGTTTAGTTTCGGTTCTGTGCTAAATTAGAGCTTGACAATATTTATGCGATTTTGATGTACAGTTAGAGAATAAAGAATAAAGTATAGTTCAACTCTTTATAAATGCGCCCCTTGGGAATATCATATGTACATACATATCGATATAGATGAATTTTTCAACAAAATGGAAGGGAGCATTCGAGGATAATATACATAGTATATGCGCTTATAAATTATACATTTACGAAGGGTAAGAATATTCGTGATTTTTCTGTAGTGACATTATTTCTTTCAGTATCTTAATATTATGTAAGTTGTATAAATAATTTAATATTAAGGAATTTTCGGTTATCAATATCGTAATCAATTGTTGTTAATTTGTGTTACGAAGTCGGTGTAACTAAATCCTATTTTGTAAATTGATTTATTCTTATTATATGAATTAATACAAAATATGTCACACGAATTCAGAATAAAACGTAGGTACCGTTATTATGGATACTAGACCTTTTTATTAGTCGCCAAAGCAGGTTTAAATATTAGTTTTTTGTTTTTACACATTTTTTTGTTTTCTTTCACAGAATACGTTAGGTAACCCCATCCTGAAATGAAGCGGGATGTCGGACAAACTATTGTGCATGCAATACTTCACAATTAGTATTCCAAGCAGTAACGGTAGATCAATAATGTATTATTTACTCGACCGATTACTTCTAGATCGCCATTGCGTTAATGGATATTTCATTGCTAAATTTAAATACAAACTATTCTTCAAGAAGACATGAAGAAAAGCTTTTAAAAAATTAGACCATTCATATTCTTGCCATTTACTATTGGAGCACTACAACTGCCAAATCAGTAATAGTCAAGGACGTTAAATTACTTTAATTTACCAAACTTGTAGAGATTTGCTAATTTTGGTAACACATCAGTAAATTTGGTATCTGGAATATCAATTTTACCAGCAATCTGGTTTAGTATAAATCTGGTTTAGTATGATAAGATAAAGATATACTATAAATATCGATATACATATTGATATGTAGATTCATGTCAAATGTAAACTGCTAATTATTACAACATGTTAGTATCAAATTCACTAGGGCGATTTGAAAAGAAAGAAGTAAAGATGTGTAAATAGTTACTGAGCTGAGCACATAGGGACCAATAGGCGTATTCTTTATTTACCGATGCAGGTAGTGAATACATCTATGTAAACTTTAAAATTGAATAAAAATCTTTTTTTTTTTTTGGAAAATAAATCGAGATGCTTTTGATTTGCCTATGATTTAAAATCAATATATATAATCAGTAAGGGATACACGTATAGTAGTAGTACCCATCTTCTAAAGAAAGAAACGATATTTTAATGATGTACAAATTAAAGCATAACAACAAAGATAGTTATACCGACAGTTCGGAAAACGGAGGTATTTACACTTTATAGAAAAATAAATGCGTGCATATATGTAATTTCCGAATAATTTTTAATACGTAAAAAAGTAACCACACTTTATACATGAAACAAAACAAGGACCGGAAGGATTTTAATTTTTTTTTAAAATGGATAGAAGCGTCACACAAATTTAGTTGTATCTCATTTATAAGATAACACTTATTCATGCACATGAATATTATTTAAATGGCATCTTTTCGGTTCTGATGATATAACTTCTCCCCTGCTGGCAGTCGTTTAATTCCTTGCCCTTTTCTTTCCTTTATAACGGATTTTATCATTATTTCGACATAACCCATTACCACTAAATGGTGGGCTTGACGGGTTCATCTATAGATCCTACAAATGTAATTAGCGGTGTAAGTGACAAAGTTGAGGGCGTTACCAATTCAGCTGATAAAGCTGATAAAACTGATAACAGCAATAAAGACAATAGTAGCAATAACAGTGATAATAGCAATGAGACCAATAAAGCTGGTAGTAGCAAACCTGTTAGTAGCAGTAAAGCTGATAATGGTAACAATGATGAGGGCGTTACCAATTCAGTTGACAAAGCTGGCAAAACTGATAACAGCAATAAAGACGATAGTAGCAATAAAAGTGATAAAAGTGATAACAGTGATAATAGCAATGAGGCCAATGAAGCTGGTAGTAGCAGTAAAGCTGATAATGGTAACAATGATGATAATGGTAACAAACCTAATATTGGTAATAAAGTTGGTAAGGTTGTCAAAACCACCACCAATAATGTAGTCAAAACAAATGATAATGGTAACGATAATGCTGATAATGGCAGCGGTAATGCTGATGCCCATTCCAAAACCGATAATACTGTCGATGCCAAACCCAGTAGCACGGTTACTAAAACTCAAAAAAATGTAGTCGCTAATACAGTTAAAGACATTGCTCAAGCATCTGATGCTCCTAGTACAGAAAATACACCTAATACGACCAAAGATGTTACCAATAAAGTTATCAATTCAGGCAATCCAGTCAACAGCATTACCGATGATGTTACCAATGTTGCTAAAGCACCTGAAGACGTAATTGAAACAGCTGATAATACGGCCAAAAATGTTACTAATAATACGACCAAAGATCCTAAAGGTGTAGTCGATAACGCAGCTAATACAGTTAATAATACGGCCAAAGCTGTTACTAAAGCACCTAGTAAAATAATTAAAACAGCTGATAATACGGCCAAAAATGTTACTAATAATACGACCAAAGATCCTAAAGGTGTAGTCGATAACGCAGCTAATACAGTTAATAATACGGCCAAAGCTGTTACTAAAGCACCTAGTAAAATAGTTAAAACAGCTGATAATACGGCCAAAAATGTTACTAAAGCACCTGTAGACGTAGCTAATACAGTTGATAAAACGGTCAAAAATGGTACCAATAAAGTTAACAATCCAGATAATCCAGTCAACAGCATTATCAATAATGCTACCGATACTGTTACCAATCCAGTCAACAACGTTGTCAATAATGTTGCTAAAGTACCTAAAGACGCAGTTAATACAGTTAATAAAACGGCCAAAAATGTTGCCAATAAAGCTACCAATCCGGATAATCCGGTCAACAGCATTATCAATAATGCTACCGATACTGTTACCAATCCAGTCAACAACGTTGTCAATAATGTTGCTAAAGTACCTGAAGACGTAGTTAATACAGTTAATAAAACGGCCAAAAATGTTGCCAATAAAGCTACCAATCCGGATAATCCAGTCAACAGCATTATCAATAATGTTACCGATACTGTTACCAATCCAGTCAACAACGTTGTCAATAATGTTGCTAAAGTACCTGATGACGTAGTTAATACAGTTGATAATACGACCAAAAATGTTGCCAATAAAGTTACCAATCCAGATAATCCAGTCACCAGCATTATCAATAATGTTACCGATACTGTTACCAATCCAGTCAACAACGTTGTCAATAATGTTGCTAAAGTACCTGATGACGTAGTTAATACAGTTGATAATACGACCAAAAATGTTGCCAATAAAGTTACCGATCCAGATAATCCAGTCACCAGCATTATCAATAAGACTGTTACCGATCCAGATAATCCAGTCACCAGCATTATAAATAAGACTGTTACCGATCCAGATAATCCAGTCACCAGCATTATAAATAAGACTGTTACCGATCCAGATAATCCAGTCACCAGCATTATAAATAAGACTGTTACCGATCCAGTCACCGGCAATATCAATAAAACTGTTACCAATCCAGATAGTCCAGTCACTAGCATTATCAATAATGTTACCAATCCAGATAATCCAGTCACTAACATTACCAATCCAGATAGTCCAGCCAATAACACTACTAACAACAACCCACCATCATCTACAAACCCACCATCACCTAGCAACCCACAGTCATCTAACAACCCATCGTCATCTAACAACCAATCGTCATCTGACAACCCACAACCATCTAATAATCCACCATCTAACAACTCACAACCATCTAATAATCCACCATCTAACAACCCACTACCATCTAATAACCCACCACCACCTAACAGCCCACCACCGTCTGAAAATTCAGCAATACCTAATGACAATTTATCACAACCTAATAATACCTCACCATCTAATAATAATACACTAAATGATGCACCACAACAAAGTAATTCGCTATCAAATCTACCTACGGGAGTTGATTCATTGCCCACACCCTCATCAAAACCCGTAATTAGTGATAATGATAATGATAATACACTCTCTAACGGTTTAACGTCAAATGGTGAACTACCAATTTCCACTTTACAACCTAATTCACCTTCACAACCACCTCCTGATGGAACCATTGGTGGTATAACATTGCCACCTCATTCAGCAGCGATAATTGGAACAATTCTTGCAGTTATAGTTGCGGCACTTGTAATAATTTTTATAATAAAGAAAACTACATTTGGTAGAATGAAAGTTGATGTCCTTGAGAAAAATCAATTAAATACAAATAATAGTATACCAAATAATGAAGATAATTTAAATAATGCATTTAAAAACATTGGAGATAATGTAACTAATGCATTTGAAGGCATAGAAGTTAGAGATCCTGATCCTGAAGATGACATTGAATCACAAAGTTCGAGTGCAGAAAGTTGGGCTGCAAGGATGACTAGAATGATACATAATAAATTATAGATCACATCAATCAATTTTTTCTAGCATATTTTATAATAAGTAATTTTATCCAATTCATGTATTCAATTTATTTATTTATTTTTTTATAGTTGTATTCTTTTATATATGCTTCTTCCAATTTCTCTTATTTATTTAAATGATTAATGTAAAGTATTGTATAAGTACTGTATAAAAAAACCAAATTTTTGTGGTCTTGATGACCATACATTATTGTAATGCGGGAATAAATTAAATTTTAATTCAAAATAAAAAATTTATTGGAATTTTTTTTCTGGACGAACTCATACGATAAAAAATACTGCGACGAAGTATAATTCCGAAATAAAAATCGATAAGAATAAAATGTAACAAGACATTTGACAGATTTGACACAAAGTGGATTAACGTTAATCCGCATCATATGTTGAAAATCATAAATAGTAATAATGGTTTAAATGTTAATGATAGTGATAAATTTGTATACCGATGCACTATTTGTAGATAATTTTCGTTTATTTGTTTTTGTTAAATATTATTTCTGCAAAAAATATCTTGTAAAAAAAATCTTATCGCTGTTTTTGATTTGCCTGGATATTGATCAATTTGTGATACAAAATTTTTTTGTGAGTCCATGAGTTTTCACGATTACAATATATATATGTAATCGCCTAAATTTATTATTAATTAAATGTATTATGTAAAATTGTCTACATTGTAATCGAACTCATGGGACTCCCAGAGAAGTGTTTGTATCACGAATTGATCAAATGTCCAGGTAAATTGAAATAGTGATAATCAAATTATCGGTTTCAAAATGTTACATCTAGGGTTTCTGGTGCAGTTATAATTATATTGGAACATGGTGCACCATTATACTACATACTCTATAAAAAAAATCTCATTGAATTGTTCGGAAAATCGACTCCATTTCGAACATTTAAAGGATGTTTATTGGATAAATGCGTTTTTTATACGTTTTTTATGCGATAATTTTTACATCCCGTACAAACATCGTAATGAAAACAGTACAAACATAAACCTGTTTGGAAATCCGAACAATTTCAAACAATTTTAAAACATTTTTTATAGGGGTGTATTATCTGATGTTAATAGCTCATTATTGAGATAAGACTGAACCTATCCTTCAAAAGTTATTTGGAAAGTTTGCGCACGTGATATGTTATATTTAGAATCTATAAGATCTATAAGCGTAATATTAGTTGGGCTCAAGTGAAGACATGCATTTAGGGGGCTTTTCGTAGGACGTGCACTTAGAAGTGGGTCTGGTTGTTTACATAATAGTAAAATCTTAAATTATTCATCTCGAATATTCACGAATTCCGTGTAAAAAACTCTAATCCTTAACTATTCGTGAATTTTGTGTAACCAAATATTCACAATTGAATATTCTTTTTTAACCGTGTTATTCACGGATCCCAGCTCTAGTTTCAACATTAAAATTTAAACGTTACTGTAAATTTGCAATTTCAGAGAACAAATAGATAACGAAGAATAGCTTTTAGTGTTGTCGAGTGTTATAACAGATATTTCAAATTTGTCAAATATTGCAAATATGATGCTACTATAGTAGCACTACTAAACACAATCTTGTTTATTGTTTTACTGAGTTCATGTATTCAATTTCGGTGTTGTAGAATATAATTGAAGAATTAGAAACGTTTGATAATATTAAAAGGAAAACGGATTATTATGAGATCCTTAAGATCTATAATTCATTATCTTGAGAGTATGAAATTTGAGCGAGCTCGTAGAAATAAATCTATGAAAAGAGAACCTTCTTTTACATGTATTTATTACAATATTCCTGATATTTATGTGCAAAGGGTAATGGTGTGATTTCACTCTTATTGTAATTAAGACATTTTTGACAAAAATGAATGAATAAATGGCATATTACCCTATAAAAAAAGTTTGTCTGCTTTTGTTCAGCTTTTGTCGATATTGTTCAAAAAAAGTTCAGAATGGAGTCATT